CCCCCACCCCAGCCCCGAACGCAGGGCGGAGCTCTGGCACAGTGGCAGGCGCAGCATGATGGCAGCCAGGGCTGCACCCCTCCCCTGCCACAGGGCACCCCGGCGCAGGGTACCCTGACACAGCTGCTGCAAGGGGGCTCGCCCCACCCGCCAGGCACCGAAAACCTTGCCCAGGTAAGGATGGGGGCTGTGCTGGGGTCCAGTTTTACCCCGGAGAGCAAAGCCAGACTGCAGGGTGGCAGGGGTGCCGGGAGGGGGGCTTCCCTGTGAAATCATGGTGCCTAAGCTAGCTCTGGTGTTTCCAGGCAGAGGGAAGGAAGGATGGATGGTTTATTCATGAGGTTTCCCGCACATGTACTGTCCGATGGCCAGTGGTCCCTGCTCCCCCCAGCCACAGCCACGGTGTGGCCCGAGGGGTGGCAGGAGAATGGCTGGTGTCCCCCAGGGCAGCCTGCAGCCACCTGCATGGCAGCAGCGCAGGTCGAGGCAACACGCTACCTGTCGCACCTTAGGGGCACCCAAAACCTCCACCAGCCCTTCCTCACCTGGGATTAAGATCCCCACACCACAGGCAGGGACGTGGGCTTGTAACGAGCACAAGGCGCACAGTCCGGGGTAGCAGGGGGTCTCTGGAGCAGCCAATAACACAGGCACGGCTCTGGAGAGCCCAGCCAGCATGGTCCATGTGGGATGGCAGGGCCAAGGCCACCCATTTTCCCATGGCCCCTCTAGCAAGGACACACAATTGTCCCCATATGGCTGTCCTGTTGCTCCTGCCCTGCCACATCCACCAGGGCACATCCAGCATCATGCATCCATCCTGCTGTGTCCATCGGGACACCTCCAGCCCATCACCTCCATCTTGCTGTGTCCATTGGGACACCTCCAGCCCATCATCTCCATCCTGCTGTGTCCATCGGGAAACCTTCATCCCATCATCTCCATCCTGCTGTGTTCATTGGGGCACCTCCAGCCCATCATCTCCATCCTGCTGTGTCCATCAGGACACCTCCATCCCATCACCTCCATCCTGCTGTGTCCATCGGGACACCTCCATCCCATCATCTCCATCCTGCTGTGTCCATCGGGATACCTCCATCCCATCACCTCCATCCTGCCACATCCATGGGGCCCAAGACTGCTCCTGCCATGGGGCAGGAGGTTTTTGCACAGCCCTGTATCACTGTGTGGTGTATTCGGGCCCGGGACCATGTTGACCGTCCTAGGTGAGTCGCCGACTTCTTCTCGGTCTTTCCTTCCCCACCGCGAAATTGCGACATTTTGTCGATTTTCGGTGATTTGGGGTTTTTTTCTCGGACTTGGGACTGGGCTGGGGTCTGCCGCCGGTTTGGGGACGGGCTCTAAGTGTGGCGTTGTGGGCTCTGTCCTGTCCCTGCGGACTCGGAGGGCTCTGGCGCACGCCACAGAGGATTGGGGGGTATTTTCTCAATTGAAAGATCTTAATATTTGGCCAGGAAATGTGTCTGAGGTCTCAGGGACCCTATTTCAGAAACTTGGGTTTAGATGTCTAACAAAGTCAATTTTTGTCTTTGTCAAAGAAATTAGTCATTAGTCTAAGGTTTAAGGTCTAAGTCCTCAACTCTTAGTCCTGAGGACTAAGTCCGTTGCCCTCAGTGAGGACCAGGGGCTTCTCTGCGGCGTCCCACGGCCGAAGGCGCGGGTGCTGGGAAATGGCAGCCCCTCCTCAGCCGCGAGCGGGCTAAAGTCACATCTGACTTTGTGTTAAAATGACACATTCCTGGGTTCTTAACCCAAAGTTCTCAGGGGTATCTTAAAGAGTCCATTGTCCAGGTAAGCCGTGTCAAAAATGGAGATTATCGTGTTGAAAATGCCGCTGGGAAGATCATTTGTCTGTCTTGGTCTGTAATTTTTAAAATAATTTGGCAAAACCCCTCAATCTGAACCAAATGACTAGGGGCATAAGATTGAGAAAAATGTAGTTTGACAATTTCTTCAGCCGAAAGTTTTTAATGGTGGAGTCCTCCTGGTTTTCAAATAGAGATGGAAATAGAGAGAGAGACGTTGTACATTTGGGGAGGCAGCAGAACCACCTCGGAAAGACCAAGAGTCTTTTCTATGTCTTCCTTCGGGTGATTCTTAGTTGCCCTTTTTTTGAGGCAAGTTTGAAAGTCTCTGAAAGCAGAACTGGGAAGAAAACAGGATGGTTCATCTTTGACGTTTTGATTTTTTAAAAAAATCGCCTTGCAAAAGGAAAGAAATGGGTTTATGGCAACTAATCAGAAATTTTGTAGGGTTTATATA